ACGAGACACACAGTTTCCAAAATAAAGAGTGCTACCACTGTTAATATTCGTTTTTCTTTAAATATTAGCTTGCATGATTCACGTGGATTCATCTTGTATATGTGTCTGATTGCTCTTTTTTGTAATTTTAAAATAGAATTAAGAAGGTGGGAACTGCACACCCCCCAAAAAGGTATACCGTATCTCAGGTGCGTCTCTATCATAGCATGATATGCAGTTCTTGCTGTAGAGCTTCCAAGTTCTCTAGATATAACTCTCAGTGCATAGCACCCCGAGGTAACTGTAGCCCTCAGTTTTTTTATGTGGTTTTCGAATTTCAGACCTTTGTCTATATAAAGTCCTAGAAACCTAGCGCAATCTTTATTTTCAATAGTTCCGTTAGCTAAGGGTAAATTGTCAAGATTACATTTAAAAGAGATCATATTTGTTTTGCTGATGTTGAATGATAATAAATTTGAATCACACTAAGACTTTATAATTAAAATGTCTCTGGATATGTTTTCATGAAGAGTATCCACTGATACACTATGCCACAAAATTGTGGTATCGTCTGTAAAAATAGTTAGTTTGCCAGATACATCTATAGTTAATAACTCATTAATATATACAAGAAAGAGGATCGGGCCTAGTACTGAACCTTGTGGTACACCTGAATTGATTTCTAGTTTTTTTGATAGTTCGTTTGTCCTCACCATCTGACTTCGTCCCGTTAAATATGACTGAAACCACTCGAGCGTTTTTCCTCTATAACCACAATAATACAACTTATGCAGGAGTAAATTGTGGTTAACACAGTCGAACGCTCATTGAGCCTTTTTTTGACAAGTTGTTCGATAATTTTTGCCAACGTAGGTATAAGGGAAATTGGTCGATAGTTTCAAGACTCTTCAAGATCGCCACCTTTGTGTAGAGGAATAACTACCGATAATTTTAAGAAAGATGGGAACACTCCACTATGGAAAATGAAACTGAATATACAAAATTAGTTCAATTCATTCTTGGTGATGTACAGACCCCTCTTTCCCAATGGGCACTTTGGGCAAGTGCCAGAGCCCCGCGATCGATAGGGGCCCCCCTCAGATCAAATACAAAATCCCTAGTTCCTGCCAGATCACCAAACGATAACCAATATTTATTACCAAAAAACTTAAATAATTCAAAGAAATCGAACCTAAATTACTGACTACAATACCAACTTACTAGCTTTTACATGCGCGAAGGTATTCTACACTCGCCCAAAAATTAGGCTTCTCGACTTCAGCATGCTTAGATAAATTCAAATATATATTGGTATACTAAGCACATACACATTTTAAAGAAAAATCATCAGGAGTACTCTCATTAGTACGGTTTGCTCCATTTAAATTGAGCGAACGAAGCGAAGTATGAAGCTCCAAGTTTGAATTAGTAGGTGTACCTACATGCAGCTGGGTGTGTATCGGAGGCAACAAAGTTTTTTGAAATGGTTCATGAAGTGTACAACTTTTTTTCGGGCTCTACTCGTCGATGGAATATACTGACAGAACATTTAGGTTCAAAAAAAATTGTTAAAAGTCTTTCACAAACCAGATGGTCAGCCCGAGCAGATGCAGTAAGCGCCTTGCATGAAGGTAATGAACAAGTTATAGAAGCTTTGATATCCATCGCAAAAGATACACAACGAGCACGAGAAACTAGAAACGAAGCCCTTAGCCTGTCCAGAAAAATGGAAAAACTCGAATATATCATACTAACGGAAATTTGGAACTGTATATTGGAAATAATAGACTACTTAAATAAGTAATTATCTTCAGAAAACAATAACACTAGACGTTGCAACTGATATATTTACTTTACTTGATGATTTTATTATCAACCTCAGGGATAAATTTGATCACTTCGAAAACATTGTACGGAAAAATTCAAGCTGTCAATTTTGAAAATAATTGGCAAGTTACCAGGCAAGTGTGGTGTTTTTTCAATTTTACTAGTTGATGGTTTGACGAAACCTTTGACCGATTAATTTTTTACATTTTGGGGTACCAAGGCAATATGTTCTTTGCTCCTAGTACTATATGGGTGTTGAAGTTTGTTCAGTGATATTTTGCCCTCATGAATTTTGGAAATTATTTTCAAGTAAAATAGCAAGTGTGGTGTTTTTTCAATTTTACTAGTCGATGGTTTTACGAAACCTTTGACCGATTAATTTTTTACATTTTGGGGTACCAAGGCAATATGTTCTTTGCCTCTAGTACTATATGGGTGTTGAAGTTTGTTCAGTGATATTTTGCCCTCATGAATTTTGGAAATTATTTTCAAGTAAAATAACAGTTTGATATGAAAAAACCCGCTCTCCATGAACAATTTTCTATTGGAATAAGTCCTTTTCTTACTATATATTGGTTGCGCAAGCAAAAAAGAAAAGACTTCGAAACATGAAAATTTCTGTTGACCGTTCAAATCGTGGGGCATTCACTTTTCGAGGATTTTGACCCTTCTAATACGTTTCGAACCATCAAAAACAGCACGGGAGCTGCTTTCATTTAATCTGTTTTTTTTTTCATTTTCAACCCCGACGCCAAAAAGGGTGTTATGAAAGTTTTACTGTGTATACATCTGTGTGTAGCTCCTACACTAGTAGACTAATTTTGATGCGGTTTTTTTTATTCAATAGCTAATTTTGTCCGGATGGTTTTTAGATATGTTTCATCAAACTCGCTCTAGCCGTTTAAAAGTTACCAGCTCGTTTTCAAGGTTATGAAGAGAAATCATGCATTTAATTATGGTTAAGAATTGAATACATCCACATGACTGATCGAAAGAAAAAATCGATATTTTCAAGAGTATGTAGAATCATTTTCTTAGTTTGTCTTGATGCCGCAACCAGAATAGTCTACAAAGAGCCAACTCCTCGGCAGTTTCAGTAACTTTGACTGGGGTCGTAATGAATGAAAAATTGTTTGATTCCAAGTGTTTCTTTTTCTTGCAGAAGGCCTCGCGAAATATACTTTGCCCACATCAAATTTAGGTCTTGCGGCGCCACTGCTCCCAAAATTAACATTTTCTCATGACTTCGACCAAATAATGTTAAGTTATTATTTGAATTAATATTATCTACTCTTAAAACACTATCGAAAAATTTTGAACGGCATCTGCAACGTTTCCGTTCAAATACATGTAACTCCCTGTAATTATTGCCATTTTTTTAAAGTAATAATAGATTGAGCGCAACCGCTGAATTTACGTTTCGTGAATTTGATATTGAGATTTGTAGATAAGAGATTTGCAGCTGAGGTATTGTTCGCTTTTCCGTAATAGCTTTCCTCTCGATTTTATGTTACGGAAATAAACACTACTAATAGTCGTTGAATGAAATGTGGTTTCACTTCTCAGCGCTTGAATTCAAAAATGTTCCAAAATGTATAGTGTAGTTCAGAAGTTTCATTTCATGTACAGTATCACACATAAAGTTCGCGACATATCGTTTTTTATATTGATAGAAATAATGAAAATTTGAATTCGCACTTAGTTTGTGCATGTGCTACTCTAAACCTGTCAAATTTGACATTTTTTTCAATCCTCAAAAAATCAGTTTTTTTTGTAAATTTCGTCTGCCACTTCGACTTTTTTCCATTTTTTTTAAATTTTTCGAATGTTTCGCTATATCGATTCGAACGAAACATGATTCAAATTTCATAATTTTGTTGAATACGAGACATCAATGTCATATCTTGCCCAGAAAACACCCGCATTGGCCTGTTACCAGAAAAAGTAATAAATACACCTCCAGAAATTCGTCTTTGTTGTTGCAATGTATGGACGTTAATATGTCAGCAATAATCCGGTCAATTTAGACTTTGAAAGGTACATAAATTTACAACAAGTTGCAAACGCGTGTAATTGTTCAAAACAGAGTTAACAATGATATTTTAAAATTCCGAATGATTGCGATGCCTGGAAAAAAATTATTCGAGGTCAAAGGTCAAAAATCTTTGCGATTTTTAGGAAAACGGTAAGTTTTATCATGAAATAACATCAGATAAAAATTGTAGATCATAAAATTCTTTACAAAAAATGTATCAATACTTTTTTTTCTTAGAGCCACCATTTCTGAGATACGACGAGTCAAACATTTGTAAAAGTTGTAATCGTCATTATATGCACACGTTTCCACGCCACCTATGAGGTAGTTTACTTAGCGCGTTTTTTAACGTGGTTTCCCCAGTAGGCTATTCCACATGTCTGTTGTGATTCTGTCAAATTGAAAATTTGCATAATAAAATATATTAGGAAGAGTTGGAAATTATAAAAGCGATTGAAATTAAAAAAATGTAAAAATTTATTTATCTGAGTCATAACCTTCAAATACTTCTTCTTGTCGTTCTTCTTCTTGGTCTTCTTCTTCTTCTTGTTCTTCTTCTTCTTGATGTTCATCCTGGGTGTAGGTAAACTGCGTCAAGAGTGATGTATCGCATGTATATACTTATGTATACTTATGCATATAATGACGATTACAACTTTTACAACTTTTTGACTAGTCGTATCTCAGAAACGGTGGCTCTAAGAAAAGAAAGTATTGATACATTTTTTGTAGAGAATTTTATGATCTACAATTTTTATCCAAGGTTATTTTATGATAAAACTTACCGTTTTCCTGAAAATTGGGAAAAAACAAGTTTTTTCGAGATTTTTGATCTTTGACCTCGAATAAATTTTTTTCCAGGCATCGCAATCATTCGGAATTTTAAAATCCTATTTTTAACTAGGTTTTGAACAATTACATGCATTTTCAGCTTGTTGTAAATTTATGTACCTTCACTTCTATTTTTTAGTCTAATTTGACCGGACTATAATCGAATATATGTATTTCTCTTCATTCTTATTACATTTGTTACATTTTTTAGCAGATTTGTATCCCATTAGCTGCAGATGAGTTCGAAATATTTGGATGCAGTTTACACCCAACAGACTGTTGGAAGTAAACTGTTAGGTGTAGTTATTGAGCAAATAATAACGCTTCTTGAGTTAATTTCGTGAATCTTCTATTCTTTATTTTCACCACTAGATGTGTAAATAACAATAAACCAAAATAACTATAACCAAATTCACAACAAAACATCATAACATTCATTTTGATGTATCTCAATAATCTTATAAAGAACCCCAATTCGTAATTCAATATGCCGTATGAACTTTATATAGTCGAACATGTGTTCAAATGGGAAAACAGTAGGTTATTCTTTCAATATTCAAACATTCGAAATAGATCCAATTGAATATTCTGGGATTCTTATTTTGATTTCACTTCAGAAAACAGTTTTGAATCGTTGGTATAAAAGAGAAAATTATATCGGTTATAAAAATTAGGAATGATAATGGCCCTAGGTGAGAACTTCGTGATACACCTTACGTGGGGATTTAAAACAGTTTACCCTACAAAAAGAACAAGAGATGGTTTTCTTTGCTTTCAACACACTCTATCGCTTTCAACACCCCACATTTTGAAGCTGTTCAGAGTTGAGGAAAATAATAATTAAAATGATAATCGATTTGTTTGAACCCCTGTTATATGATGATTTTTATCATAACCGAAATACTTCTTTCAGCCAAAGATTTTGAACCCCGCCTGGAATACATTATCGGCTTCCCAATACTCCTACAACATATTCAGCAACCCTTATTCCAATCAGACTATTTGCGACCCTTTGACTGAGATCGTAGATCAATTTGCAGACTTTGCCATCGATCGGAGGACCCTCAAGAAACCACCTGCTACGTATTTGTGCCATCTCTGCTTCCAAAAAGGCCACTACATCAAGGATTGTCCGCAAGTAAGACAAACAATTTTTGTATATATTGTTAGTTATATTAGAAAAATTTTCAAAGGTGCCTTTGGCCCATATTTTCACATGGTTGGAAAATATGGGCCATTGGGAGAAACGGGTTCAATCTGTTTTATTGTTATCTTCTTCAAAAATGATTTATTTTTCACGACAATTCGTGGAAACTTCCCTTTTTTCGTACCTACTATTCTGAATCGAAACAGTCAATATTACAATTTATTTTGATGCCGGAAATCACTGAAAAAATTTCTATTTTTTTATTTATTTTTCACAATTTCTGGAAAAATTTTTCAGAGTAATTTATTTATATATTCATAAATAAGGCCATCCAAAAGATACAGATCCAATAACATGATGGCATAACTAACGAAAACTATGAAAGGACTGACCCGTTATTTGATGAAAATTATTAACACTATCCATTATAATAACCAAACTACAAAATGGCGGAACTTTTAATAATTGCCTGAATATATTGACATTTAACTACATAATATGAGGTAATAAGCTTGAGGTCAGTTCGGAAGATGCTCGAAATGGTTGCCTTGAACTTCTTGATATATGAACAGCCTTTCCGATATTTCACGCCGAATATTTCCGAACACAGTAAGATATCTCTACAAATATTTATCATTCTCTGCCGTATATCCAATATTGAAGCAGGTTCAGTTTCGTACACCTTTTGCTTCAAATAGCCCCATAAAAAAAGTCCAAAGATGTCAAATCTGGCGAGCGGACTGGCCATTTTGTAG